CCCTAGCTTCTTCTTTAAACCTCTCAAAAATCAGCTTAGCACATTGCATAGAGTGTTCGGCTTGACAGGACAATTTTTCTCTGTTACCTGATTATCATACCATAATTATAGCACCGTTTCCATCTCAGCAATAATATCATGACGTTTACTAATTATGCTTGAGTTCAAGGATTGAGCATTTTTTATCGCATCGAGAAAAATTTATTTATTTTTTATGCTGGGTCCTATTGTGGATTCCGGTAGCTCAAACTTCTTTGCCAAATCACAAATTTTCATTCTGCCATCAGAATCTTTGATAATGTTAACTTTACATTCCAAAGATATCGTTTTCCTTTTCTTACTAGGTTCAGAAGAATGAGATTTACTTCGTTTGGACGACATAGTTTTTTTATAAGGGTTCAAAAAAGTATAACAAAACAATCTAAACTGTCGTTGATCGTAGAATGGTAATCGTGCAAGCAGAGTTCGAGCGAAACGCGTTCAATGCGTATCACTGCAAGAGAAACACTGGAAATAGCGGGCAGCAGTGTTGCCAAACGATAAAATCAAAAACCGCGTAACTCCGAGTTCACGTAAGTCGGGGTGTTACTGCATTTTTAAAAAAACAGAAAATAAGTTTGAAAAAGATTCTCTACCTTGGATACTGTATACAACAAGAAGACGATCACTCCGATGGTGTAAACAGGCAACAGAGAGCTCCACACACCTTTGCCAGAACGGCCGGTGGCTGCCGGGCCAGGAAACATTGGTGGCGGTGGCGGGACGTGGTGTCGCTGAAAAGAATATAAACTGTTCAACAGGTGCATTTACGTCGCCAGAATAGAAAAACAATGTGCCTACGTTCGGTTCGAAACTTTCACCATGTCGACGCGGAGCGCCATGAGGTTTCTGAGCGGGAAACACTAAACATAATATTAATGATAATAACAAATTACTCAATTAATATTTTCCGCCAAATACAACCAACTTTAGACATCAAAAAATTAATACGTTAAATGAACATTTTACCACTTTACCACACTTTACTTTACCATTCTGCCACTTTACCACAGTTCAATCCTGCCATTAGGCCTAACAGAAACAAAACAAACTTCCTATCACAATACAAAATTAATTTTGTCAAACGTTACTTGCTTCATGGAGGAAGCTTTAAACAAGGCAATTTCGATCTACAAACACTTTAGTCCCGCTAACGCCAGTAAATCTTCTTGGTATCCTATTCAACAACAACAATTATAGGAGGAGTTACACTATCTGTTGATCGTCATATTAAATAAGCAACAATCAGATGGGTCAAGGCGAATTCGAAACCTTCTTCCTCTCACTCTAATATATGTTCGCTAAAATTACAAACGAACAGTTAGAATCTCCACCCTGACAGATCCTGTCAGTTGAGAGTAAGATCTCCCCGTCCCGCTCCACTCCATAACATTGT